TGAACTGCAACAGATACAAATGGAACTATGAACCGCAATAGATACAAATGTACAAATGTAACTATGAACTGCAAATGTATCTACAGATAAGAAATACGCTATCAGAATAGATATACAGTATTGCGCGTTCATATATATAGTGCTATATACAGCACACTGGGGAAGTGGCCATAATCCAATGCCCTGTATGTGTTCATCGGCATACTCCCATATATGATTACATGTCTAATGTTTTCAAACGCCACCCCCACCCCATCCAGAGAGGAGAATATACAATTTATGCGCTAATATATTGCTGAATATCAATTTATGCGCCAATATATTACTTTGCGCTGTATTCATCTTGTGGTTTTATTAGTTTCGAGATGGCCTGATTCAGAGTTAAAGTACCGGAATCGGGTCACAGTCCGTTGAACCTCTGCATGCTTCTTTTGGTTTTATAATCATCCTCTTGTGTACCTGCCTATAAATGCGGCGATATCATATCGTTTTTGGGATGTATCGCACCCATTTGTTTTTTTTTTGTTTGCTTTTTTTCAATCTGAAACCCAATTACTACCGTAATTTACTTTTTAAGCATGCTCTATTGCTTTGGTAGAACGCTTAGTGTACTTTTAGACACACCTGCACTATACAACGGAAGCCTTATTCTCGGATACCATATTGCCTAGTTACTGAATTTTGTTTTGACTCGTTCTCCGCATCTAACTGTCGACACATTGAAATGAAATGACCCGGGTTTGTTGATATATTTGTCTGAGTTACTAAATTGATCAACCATGTGCTCGAGAGCGTACTCAACGCGAGCTGTTCATATCTCAGTGTGTGCGAGTATTGGATTGCGAATGAGAGCTGCATCTAAATCACGTATCTCTTATTCCTCACTAGCATCACCACGCCATCACAGTTTCTCTCATCGGAGTTTGTCACAGCATCAAACCCTCTCTACTGCCAGGGCATACAGATAGTACAGCCTTATACAAACAGCCACTCCATTGTTCGGCTTCATCGTATCTAATTGTCTCTGATTCACTTGGGCCTACGACTGACCAGTGTATTCTAACCATTCGTACCATGCAGAGGAGTGAGCTCGGGCCGCATATACGACCAGGAAGGTAATATGAAAGTACACGTCACACAAGAAATTCTTATCCGGTACAAACCAGGCACAGAATACCCGAAGTTCGACAAAACGTTACAATGGTAAAAACCTAAGAAATAGCTAATAAAGCAAGCGCAGGTATCGACAACAGACGTGTGCTGGTCGGCGGACTTCCCTGACAAGTCGAGCTGCTTGAGTGTGTATCGTATAGCCAGCCGATGCTATGATTTGGCTGAGTTCCGTTGGACTATATGAATTTTTGTTTATATATATATATATATATATATATGTATATATATTTATATACTTGTATATGTTTTTATGTATGTACGTGTATATATGTATATATTCATATATATATAAATATATGAGCATGTGCGTGTGTGTGTGTGATATGTATATATATAAATGAATATAAATATATATATATATTTATATATGTGTGTGTGTTTATATGTATACATATACATATATATATATATGTATATGTATATATATATGTCTGTGTATGTGTGTATGTGTGTGTGAATGCCTGTATGTTCATATATATAGATATATATATATATATGTGTGTGTGTGTGTGTATTGTAGGGTGAATAAAATGAGTGAAGAAATATATTTAATCTACAAACTTGCAAAGAACGGATAGACGACCTTATTGTTTTTAGTGTAAATGTATTAGACTAAAGGAATGCACAGCGATGTGTGTGCGAAAGCTCTCAACAGGATGACACAGACATCAATTTCTGACCCAGCTTTTGTGTATATTATTGGATCCACTTTTGTGTATATTATTGGATCCACTTTTGTGTATATACTTTATTGCGAACGTATGTTATATATTGAACATTTGCAATTATTCGGTATGTATAAATTGAATTATACTGATATTAACAAAACAGTTCATCGCTTGTATTCATGCTTCTTCCGAGTTGCATTCATGTGACTAACATTGAGATACGGACGCAAATACAAATGGAACCGGTAATGTCGTGCAGTTGGCTAGTAAGACAACTCAGGCATGCAGCGCTAGTAACAATTATTTTGTAAACATTGCTAAAACAGGCGTACAGGGTTCCAAACTGCATTTAAATATCCACTCTGAGCGATTTATGTCGATCGCGCGTGTACAGCTCAAACTCGAGGGTAGGCTGTACCCGCACACCTGAACATCATTTTATCGTCAGAAGATACGGCAGAGCATTTCGAATCCGTACTGACCACTGAGACGAGTAGGAAGAAAAGATACAAGCAAACAAACCTATGAGCTTGCTATGTGTATATGTGTATTCATGTACGTGTTAGTGTATGTATCAAAGTATTTATGTATCCGTGAATTCGAAACTTGTTTGTTCCAGTCGCCAAGCCGATAAACCGCATACCCCCATCAGTGTATGTATGAACGTATGTCTATGTGAACATGTGCATCGATACGCGGTTGTATATCTCTTGGTATGTGATGAATCTACGTTTAGGAATTGGGGTCATGCACCGTAGTGTGAAATAATCCTCACACTATACTTTATACCAGTGATATTATGACAACTGCAGGTAGCAGATCAGTATACATGACCATAAGGCGATCGTGAACCCGTGTTTTGTTTTGATATATTTATTAATACACCTATACCTCGATGAGGTAATGCCGCAGGAGCGGAAGACTACTTGATGTTGTCTAACCAGGATTCACGCGATATGAACCTATACATAATTCTAAGTTTCTTGCAATATTCGTTGAACAATCTGACGTACACGGGATATATTCCACCAACCAGAGTCGCAATAGTAATTATAACGCAGATTCGACTGCATCACCAATCTAATCAACGACATCGGCAACTCCTGATGTCAATGTATCGGTTAAATAACCGATCTCAGGATTGGCCTCAGATGCTTCACCTGTAACTAGACTTTTCTCCATCATGCCGGTTTCACTCGGCATTGGAATATCTTCTGGCGCTGTGCATGGGCAGCACTCGTCCGTTTGTCTACGTTGCCTGTCACTCATGGTGTCTGCACTCTGCAGTACCATATCGGTCATCATGATATCCTCCGACAGCATAGCACCCCCGATGATCACAACTTCCTCCGATGCCTTTGGCGTATCAGGCATAGGCTCGGCTGGATACAATTCTATGACCACATCAGTGACTGTAGCCTCTTCACTTGCCTATAACCTCTTCACTCGCCATAACCTCTGCACTTGCCGTGACCTCTTCACTCACCGTAACCTCTTCACTTATCATAACCTCTTCACTCGCCGTAACCTCGTCACTTATCATAACCTCTTCACTCACCGTAACCTCTTCACTTATCATAGCCTCTTCACCCGCCGTAACCTCATCATTCGCCGTAGCCTCTTCACTCGCCGCAACCTCTCCACTCGCCATAACTTCTTCACTCGCCATAGCCTCTTCGCTCGCCATCACCATAGGTTTGTTTAGAATTGGCTGGGCGTCACTACCGATACCGTCGTCTATTTGATCTGCTTCTCCGGCACCTTCAGAACAGCTTCCAACGATATAAATATCGTCTATTGAAGATGGAACTATTACACAATCACCCAATCGGTAGTTCTCAGGTAAAAAGACAAAGGGTGTAACGCAGCCTTCGTCTAGAAAGATAATGACATCATATCCAGTCCCGGTATATACAACAGTCGTGTAGAAGGGGATCTCCAATGGCGGTGCTGCAGGCACTGTGAAGCAAGTATCTCCAATAGGAACATCAATCATAAACGTTGGTTGTACCGCATCATTACCACAAGACCTGGTAAACACCCAGCCATCAAGGTGCACTGTACCAGATGCGCATCGTTGGGCTTGACGCCGATTGATGGAGTATGCGAATGTTGATGATCCAGCTAGAGCGATAGCAGCAATTGAACAGGTGACCAACTTTTTCGGGCTGTAGAGGTTAGATATTGACATGACTTGAATTTCGAGGAGTAAGTACCGTTTGTAAAGTTATGACCCGGTGTTCTATGGAAGTTCCAGTAGTTGTGGATTGTCCAACATATTTATGTATCCCTTCGTGACGCTCATGATGGTTCTTTGCATAAATATCATTGCCTTTTTAAATTTATAGACAAATATTTACAAGTATTTATTTCTTTTCTTAGTTTTCTAAAAAAAAGAGGTACCCGAAATACACGTCCGTTTTTTTAATAGACAGTTGGCCTTTAGGTATGGATGGACTTTTATAATGTATGTATAGCAGATAACGCTTACATACGTGTGGCTAGATTGACCCAGTTCTGATAAATAATGGAATACTATATAACTTTTGAACCAATAGTACGATCGGGATATGATCAAGCATACATTTATTACTCGTCAATACGAAGAATTTGAGTCATCTTTCTACTAATAAGATTCGATTTTTAAGGTACCACTAGGCTCTGGATCTAAGCTCAGTGTGTTTGGCCTATATGCGATAAAGTATATCGGGGGCAAATCGACCTTGAAAATTTTACAAATTTGCACCTGAGAAATTGACCCTTTTTAATGAAAAGTCGATTTGAAACTTTTCACAGCTGACACAAAGTGAAAAATAGGACAATTTGTGACAGTTAGGCCGCCTCAAAAGATGTACCTATTTGTAAACCCATAGGACTATATTTAGGATAAACTTTGAACGTAAACACTTATTTTTTTTTGTTCTTTTTTGCGTTTTAACGGGAAACGTTATGAGGTTAGCTCTGGGTCAAGTGTGAAGTGTCAACCTCTAAAGCCAATTTTATGTTCACCGCTCCTATTGTATTTATGAATATACTAAATATAGCCCCCACACCGGAACAAATTTCAAAACCGTTTCTTAGCATATATTTATCGTATACAATCAAATTTGCCACATGCTTTTCACATATGCACACACACTTCAAAGCTCGCTAAATACATCTTGTGCTCGCGTATGCAGTCGCAGAATGACAGTTTGTTGTGCAGAATACTGTACTGATGATATTGGTCGAGAAAATCCCGGGCGTCGGGTTCCGCATAGGCACAGAGATCAGTTTGAAGTGTGAATAAAGCGACTGGGATGATGTATTGACAGAACCACGAAGGAGAGATGGGCGGTGAATACGCTAAAAAACTGTTCTATATTGACAAACAAACGGTGGCCTTAATCTATCCAAATGCAGTACCCATGACTAGAGAACAACATGATGCGCACATGGCTAGTCAACGACACGAGCAGGAGGCTGACCAATTGCAGCATGGGGTAGAAGTGTGTCTTGTAAGAGACAGCATACAAGCAAGTGGGGCTCCATTACTACGCCGTAGTGTACGTAATAGCAATACATCGTCACCCATCACAAGAGACTCGCTACTCCAGCTAGTAGAGTAGAGAGAGTCTACCGCTACCACGCCCACCAGTGACCACTGACCAGGCCTGACTAACCTCAAACCGTTTTCAGCTAAAACTTTTATAAATCGAATAAATACACATTTAAGTTCAACTTTTAATCCATTCGTGGTCCTTTGTATGCGTAGAGGTGCACCTTTCGAGCAATCCTATAAATAGAACTCAGGTGGGCCCTCCTGATTACCTTGTAGCCGTTATAACGTTTTAAAATTGAATAAATATGCGTTTACGTTCAACTTCTATTCCGCACCCCCATAACGTAATGAGATTACATAGCCACGCTAAAGGCTAGACCGCTAGAGAGATGCCTAGAGCGCCGCCACCAGGCCCCCTACTCACTTTAGGAGAATACTCATCAACAAAAATATATGTTCCCTCATCCCGGTATTCACTATTCAGACCCCGTTCAACAACTTTCGTGCGATAAATCATACATGGCCTCCTGAAAATAGCAGATAAATTTTATTTTGACTCCGAACTTGTGCATAGCCGCCTAAAAAGTAAATTAATTACAGCTACATAGTACATACTGACATATGGCTAGTCCTATGACTACTCCCCAGCATGAGCAGAGGCAGAGACTACTCGAGAGTCGAGAGAGTAAACCATTGCCACCTCTGACCATCAGACCACTGAGACCAGCTGCCAGGCCACCTACACACTTTAGGAGTAATATAGGAATTTTGGTTATATGTACATTGTTTTGAAAACATCAATATATACTCTTTTGACTTTTGTGTGTCGCTCTTTTGTGTTTATTGGTTTTTTTAAATGTAACAAATATACCGCCGAGTAATAATATGATTGGCCCAATATAAAAACTGAAAGAAAAGGTTCTTTCTACGTGCAGAGGTACCTACTACAATAACTACACACATATTTCAGAAATTCAGTACTGATTTCTCATTTCTGACTCCTGGCCCTGAGTTCTCAGGTCGAGTTCTGAGTGACTTCTGACTATCACCCTGTTTAGATTTTAGAGTGTAGACTGTAGACTGTTAATCTATTTTATAGTCAATAGAGTAAAAATACGAAAGCGACTGTGTAGACTGTTGTAGAGTGTACATAAGTCCACCACTGACCCCTGGGCGGCTGGGCCCTGTATGTGTAAAACTGTACGTAAATACATACATATGTGTATTTATTTTTTAGACTCAGCCAAGAGAGAGCCCAAGACAGTAGTCAGAAATATCAAATATGATAGTTTTTTTTGTTTTTTACTCGCATGAAATATGTTGTTTTATATTTATTTTTATTAAAACAAACCAAAAAACAAATATATGACTGTCGGCCGTCGGGCCGCCGCCGTCGGCTGATCGCCATCGGGGACATTGGGCTAATATGTTTAAAAAAATATATATATACACAAACAAAACGTTCATTTTTAATATTTATGTAAATATTTATGTATGTACGAGGACATTATTTATGTTGTTGTTTTTTAAAACAGAACAATTGTGTTTTTTTTTGAGAAGTCTATGATTTATTGATTTGATTGATTTGATTTATTGATTTTTTGTTTATTTTACTCTCTGCTCTCTCTCTCTATGAACTCTCTATGGAGAATAGAGTAGTGTAGAGAGAGAGAGAGAGGCTGAGAGAACCTACAATAAAGCCTCAGGAGTCAGGAGTGTTCTCAGAGCGTCATGGAAATATTTCGGGGGAGAAGGTCGCGGACTGGCAGGAGGGGAATGTATGGCAAACCAATACAAGTTCTAATTGGACCACAGGCCGCCGAGACCAAGTATGCATGAGATGATGAGCGGAAACTGACAGCTGCGAAGACCCGAAGAGTGACAACCCCGCTGATAAAAAATACAAAAGACCCCCCTCTAAAAAGAAAAGATACTTCATTTTGTTTTTGTTTTTTGCATAGCCTATGCCCTATGACTCTATGAGGCTATGTAAAATGTAAATGTAATTATGTCATGGCCTTCTGAAATTGAACTTTTGCCTCCTAATTCTAAATCAGCACATTTTACATGTTTATGTAAGCCGTATGGTGCCAGACTGCCAGCCTGCCACAGTGCCAGGTGCACACTTGGGTCTTGGGGTCACATTTCAGTATTCACAACCTTTATCTAATCATCCAAAATCGATTTTGAGAGCAGTTTTCGACTCTGCGCAACTTATAGATCAATAATATTCGGCTAAAATTTTGGTGCGAAGCTTAGAAAAAAATCTTGTTCAACCAAAATGTCGTTTCACAATCCGGGACTTTTGGAGCGATGTATTGGCTACAACATCCGTTCCCAACGGTAAAAACCTAAAAACTCGACGATTTTGACCCACCGGCCTCAAAACCTCTATCGATCCCAGTGTCTGAGTCAAAAAATTATGGGTTAGAATTTTCTCATCCTGCTGTGTATGCTGAGCTGAAAAAGCCCATTTTATATACCTAATATAAACATAGGGCCATCACATGTCCAGAATGCCGTTTTTTGGAAACTCGTTGGTTTTGGCATTATCATGTTCTACCAAAAGCAACCATTCATTTTGGAAGCTAGTTTTGGAAATATTTCAGAGTGAAAATCAGGTTGAACGATCAGGATGAACGACCAGGCGCCTAAAACCGCCAAAATCGACTATTGAATATTTTTTGAATATTATTCAAATTAGAAGAAAAAATATATCCAAATTTATGATTTTTTATGATGCAATATATTTTAAAATACCGTATTTATTTACGACTTTTAAAGTACGAGCCTGTTTTATTTTTTTGAAGCTAATATAAATATTTATTGTTCCCGTAGCAGCCACCAGTCAGGCGTCAGCCAGTCAGCCACCGCTCCCACCAGATGGGTAGATTTTCAGGTAAATATGTGCTGAATGCTGATGCTTTACTACTGGGTTCCATATTGTTCTATGTATGATTAAATTGTATGTACATATGAACATTTTTTTTAAGTTTTTATTACAAGAAGAACTATTTAGTGAAATTTACAAGATAGGAGGACAAAGTACTCTCTCGTAGGAGCATTTTTTAAAGGTGTTTTAAAATGTGTGTACATATTTAGTAGAAATATTTATGAAGTAAAGACTAAGCTCTAAAGACAAAGACCTTACGAAGAGCTTGCGTCGATTGGCTTTTAAAATACATAATTTGTTCATGCAATTGTCATAAAAATCGTATACATGTAGTTCTGTACAAACGATATACAACAAATCACAATTTTGTAAACACAATTAGGCAAAATCTATGATTATCAATCCTAAAATTGCAGAATCTATTTGTCAAATAATTCAAACATATTGTGCCATTGAGGTAGCCAATGCATTTTGAGAATCGATGTTACTTCTGATACGCTGTAAAAATTATCAACAAAATGACTCATCCGAAACGCTTATTCGCTTGTTCATTTATTCTGGTTCACGACTAATTAACTGTATTAAGCTACATAGGTAATATACAGAGCATCAACGTTCTGTAATATATTGTTTATTTCGGATGCATCTTCCTTCTTGAGGTGGTCATCTACTTCACTTAGTCTCGTACTTACACCAATACAACATCACTTTATGCACTCGGGGTTCAGGGTTTTAATATAAACGAATATAGAACGCGCAGTATGAAGATTGCTTGTTCAACTTGCCGGGTCAACTACTTGCGCTTCCTCTATCAATCGTCGTCAAGACACAGCTTGTTCAAGCGGCGAGGTGCACTTTGATGCCTGGGTGCTCTCGGCCGGAAAGCCTTGCTTTGCAGTGCCTGCCGGACCCCCATTGGGAATTCCTTTTTATGCCGCTGTCAACTACGTCGGATCTGGGTACAACATATCAATTTATTTAGACGCAGAATGCTCCCAACCTCTTGCTTCACTACCAGACAATTATCAATTAGGCGTATGCGAGTCCGTTGAATCACCTCTGGGCTTCATACACATCATCGGAAGTTGCCTCGCTGGTGAACGTGACGACGAGGATGCCGTTGCCAGCGAAAATATGCCAATGGCGAGTGAAGAAGCCGCCGAAGAATGCTGTGCATGCATACCCGAAGAAATTTCTGATATTCCAATAGCTTCTGACGACGCTATGATGACCGGAATGCCCACGGATAATACAGTCATGGTTCGTCGGCAGGGAGGACCTGACATTGGCATCTCAGAGATCGGCGAGTGCTGCCCTTGCGACTTAGCAGATATCCCATTGCCAGGTGAAACTGGTATATTTGAAGGTGGCCTCGCAGATGCCGTTTCTGATGTTGCGACCGATCTACTTGATGATTTAAGTGATGTGTTGGATGCAATCACTGACGCCGTAGATCAGATCAAAGTCGCAGCCGAAAAATTGGGTTAGGTTTTAACCAAATATAAGATAGCATTTAAAAATGAAGTCAGTATTTGAATGTGTTGCGATTCGACTTGCGCCAGAGTTATTTTCCAATGATGCAACTAAACACATACCTAGAACTTAATATTAGAAACTAGAGTAGGGCGGTTAAAAATTATTCCCCGTTTAAAAGTGAAAATAGTAGGCAAGGGTCGAATTCCTTTCAACAGAGCAATAGCGAAGACGCGTCACTTTTGATATTGCACACTATTATCTTCAACTCAGAATTAATGCGAAAGAATGGAGTACTTCCGTTCGGAGCACTCAAGCTGGCACATAATTCAACTGTAAGTTAAAAGGATATGAGGCGCGTATAGGTTCAAGATTAACATATCTAATACAATATCAGGCCCCCCAGAGCATACGGCTAAACGTTGAAAATAGCGTTGATATCTTTATTCAGAATAAAATCTTATCTCAATACGTCAGTTCATGAACAGATATTCCACCGTTTACACAGCCGAAAGCACAGTTACGGCTGTGGTTGCGGACGCTGATGCAGATGGTGATTTCCCATCTCTCCCCCGCTCGGGCCATTAACGACGGACCCAGAAGGTGTGGTCATCCTGGACTGCGCGTGGGGTAACACAGGAATCCCTGTTTGCTGTTGCGGATTTGGCTGCGCTGCGTGGCCCTTCATTTGCGACATGTACTGGACAGGACGTGTTGGAGAGTGCTGTGGGTACACCATTCCAGTTTGGGGTGTTGCTTGGCCCGCATAGGGGATACCACGCAAGGGCTGAGATGATCCTTGCACGTGTTGTTGGTACATTCCGTAAGGTGTTGGTGTAGCAGTAGGTACTGCCGTGGGAGACCCCATATATGCCGCTGACATAGGCCTAATGTGGCCTCCATACATCTGGGCTGGACTACTCCACCCACCGCCTGGCTGGACAGGTGCTCCGTAGTATGCCGGTGGCACGGATGCTACTTCATTAACTGGCCTGTACGGAACCTTGTTTCCTGGTATGAAATTTGCACCGTTTGGTTCGATCATCCCCTGAGCTGAAGAAGCAGAGGTCACATTCTGATGTGCGTAAAGGGCGCTATTGGAATTAATGGGTGCATTGTTTGGCACGTGCTCACGCTGTGAGCTACGTGTCGCAAATTGCCCGTTAGCAGTCGCAAAATCTGCACTACCCGACGAACCATGTGGATTGTACTGCGCGCCTTCCGCACCACCGGTAGCAAATTGCCTGCCGTTCGTCGCAAATTTATTGGGTGAGCCATGTCCAGCACCCAAAGCTATAGGCAGCCCGCTAGGGGAGCTCTGCGCATTGAGTGACGTCTGTGTACCATTATCAGGCCCACTCTGCGCGGTGCTCGCGCTTGCGGCGGTAGCAGCATGAATGGGGTTTGCCAGTGCATCATTCGGTTTATTTCCATCACCTGACGTAAGTTGTTCTTGGCTCGCCTGCGTGGTCGAGTCGGTGTCCATGCTGGTGGATGTGCTGGTGCTGGTGTATTGGGTTGTCTCTGTGGTTGCGCTTGCTTCCGGTGTATTCGTAGTGTTGGGTGGTCCCGTCTCCGTGTCTTGCTGCACAGCACTGGCCAGTTGAGTCCCGATGTTACTCTCAGACACTGGATCCACAGTCGTCTCCTCGCTAATAGCCCGCACCGGCTCCTGTTTGATCATGCCCTCGTCGTTCACTGTTTGATCATTCCCACTAGTCTGCTCTGCAATAGACCCCTCCCCTGGGCTACCCTCTTCGGCCGAGAGTTCTTCCTCTGTCTCTAAGGCTTTTGTGCGAGCCTCAGACATTCGTTGCATGAACGCGCTCCATTCTCTCGCAAACCCGTGTTGATGCAAACACGCGTCTGAGCAGTAGACAAACTTGGCTGCTTTGGCGGGTTTGTTGCACGCCGGGCACTTGGGCTGTAAAAGCGAGATGCGTATGATTAGTATACAGATTGACCACACAATACAGATTGACCACACAATACAGATTGACCACACAATACAGATTGACCACACAATACAGATTGACCACACAATACAGAAGTAGAATATCTGTCAATTTAAAATTTGTCCTGGAAGGAAACCATCAGCATTCGGTCCAGCAATTTATCTCGACGCTTGATGCACTGTACATATAAACAAGCCTGTACACGGATATCGGTTATTGAACCACTTTTTTCACTTTAAAGCAATGGACAGGTACAGCCAAGACATAATAGACAACTGAGCTGCACATAGGGTACGATAGTATAAATCTAGTCGATACTCAAGGTATATCTTATCTATACAGATCTATACCTAGCATCAAACACTTGCAAAAAAACTGCAGCATATGCATATGCGTTCCATCTCGGTCGTCGAAATGCACCTGGGTTCGAGTATTCATTTCTCAAAAGCATACGAATACATACACATACATGTTGTCTAATTATATGTTTTTTTTTCTCAAAAGCATACGAATACATACACACATATGTTGTCTAATTATATAAAGATTTACAAAGACATACAACTTCGCAAGACCAAAACCACCGGATTTCAGAACTCAGGTTTCTTGATTGAATACCCACAAAACGATGTACAAGTATAATTACAAATTTAAATATATACAAAGTTGTGCATCGGTGGCTGTACAGGAAAGCACACACGCACCCAAGTAGGCGCAAGCATCTCGGCTGTTGGATTGTCCCTGAGTCTGAGTATCTCCTTTTCTGCAGCATTTCTGCGCTGGACCACCTCTTCGATCAACGCCCGCTTGTGCTTGAAATTGACCTTTTTCTCCTCATTTTCTACAAACAGCAGTAAAAGCCGGTGGGTTGGTATTCAGAAAGCAACAAAACTTGGTAGTTTAATTTTCAAAAAGCAACCAAATTAGGTGGTTTGATATTCAGAAGGCAGCAAAAGTGGGTAGCTTATATTACGATTCAAAGATTGGCTTAATACACAACATCAGATAAATTTGGTCCTCACGCCATTAGCTCGACGATTGTTGGCTCCAAAACAGTTGGATACATACACGTGACGAGGTTTCAAGGCTGATATATATAAGCATGGACACCTCTGCGCAACTGTGCACAATGACAACAAACCAATTCTCGTCACACCACACACCGTAATCCAATGCGTCAATCAAGTCATAAAGAGTGGTGATATGCTTGTCTCGCTTCCTCTCTCGAGACCCCTCTTTAGACCCCACTTCAGCCCGTTCTTTTGATCTCCGCCTTTCACTATCCTTCTCCGTATCCCTATCTGCATCCCTGTGCCGTTTGTCTCGGGATTCCTCTGTAATTGTCCGTTTCTTCTTCTTCGGTGGTACCTTGACCCCGCCAGTTGCCTGGGGTGGTCTGGCATGCATATATGCGCTGCTATTCGCACTTCGGCCAATCTTTCCCCCTGGCTTGACATGCCCGTGTCCCGCTTTGGAGCGACCGGTCAATAGCGGTTTGCTATCGTCCGAGTCAGACTCGTACGAAGGCTGTGGAATCGACAGTGATACGTATTGTATTTTAAAATACACGTTCAACGTAAATAGTGGACATGCAATCGAAAAATCGATATTCGTGTGCTGGATGTGCGTATATAGTGGGCACGTGGTAGTAAGGCTACCTACAAGCAAACATCTATTGCCCACAAAAATAATTCAAGTACAAATATCGAAGTATGAGGTAAACAAGTAAGCACGAACGGAACAGCCGTAATGTCGGTACATCGGGGTGTAATGGTCTTACCACACCACAGAACAAATAACACTATGTCTATACGCGGATGTATACCCAAAGAGGAGTGGGGAAAGTAAATCGTTCATTTAGAATCGTACGCACTCCGTCAACTGCAATGCACACGCGGCGCTAATACGCTACATAAGTGGCCCTCTAGTCACGCGCATATGGAAGCGTAGCCTATACAACAGACAGGCCAGATGTCAACGCAAAGTCCTGAAGAACAGTCCATGCGAGTATGATATATGCGGTCTAATTAGAATCGCTGACCCAAACAACCAGCCGGAATATAGATGTACAAATATATGTAAAAACTACAGGTACTTAACTACCTTTTTCCGCGGGCGGCCGTCGACTCTGTGTGTTCTACTGACTCCTGTGTCGTTCCCATGCCTACGCAGGGGTGGTAGACGCATAGTCGATCATGAATAAATGATTTTTGTGTGCACAGATGGGCACGCGCACACGCATATCAACAATGCTGTATACGAGACTTGCTCACTCAATAGCATTGGCGTATTGATTCCATCGAGTACA